CCACATGGTACTCACGGGAAACCCAATCAGGCTTGCCAGCTACTGAAATCGCTCTACGGAATCAAACAAGCCCCGCGGCTGTGGCAACAGCACCTACACACCCGCCTCACTCGCATCGGATTCCGCCAACTACCTCACGATCAAGGGATGTACCGACTCACCAAAAACGCCGATTACATCCTGCTGGTCGTCAACGTTGACGACCTACTCTACATTGGCTCCACCGACGACATCACCACCTGGTTCGAAGGGGAGCTGCAGAAGGACCTCACGCTCACGGTTTCCTCTACCGTCACTCAGTACCTCGGACTCAACATCCGCGAAGAAAAGAATGCTATCTACCTCAGCGCCGAGAAATATGCCGACACTATCGCCAAGCGCTTCTCGCTCACACCTACCACTATCGTCACGCCATACCGCTACACGACAGGAAACGATAAAGGAAGTTCTGCTCCACTCAAAACTGCCGGAATACGCGACTACCAGAGGAAGCTGGGCTGCCTCCTCTTTGCAGCCGTCACCTGCCGCCCAGATCTGTCCTACTCCGCAAGCCAACTCACTACCTACCTCAAGAAACCCGAAGCAGAGCACCTGGCAGAGCTCGACCGCGCACTACACTACTTCGTGAGCACTCCGACGATCGGCCTGACTTACTACAAGAGTGAAGCTACATCAACGAAACTAATCGGCTACGTCGATGCCGATCATGCCGGCGATTCCGACAACAGGCGCTCCCGCACTGGCTACATCTATCGTCTCGAGCCTATCGGACCTATCTCCTGGTAGTCGAGCAAGCAGGAACTAATCGCTCTCTCTTCAGCTGAAACAGAATATATCGCCCTCTGCTCAGCCACCAAGGAAGGACTCTACCTTCGCGAGCTGCTGGAAGAAGCAAAGTTAGCCGAGTTACCCAACTTCACCTTGTTCTGCGACAACCAATCTGCGATTCGCATTGCCAACAAGAGCGGATTCGCGAACATAACGAAGCATATCGCTCTGCGATATTTCTTCGTGAAAGACGAGATCGAGAAAGGGAAACTCGAATTATCCTACTGTCCCACGTCCGAGATGGCAGCCGACTACTTGACCAAGAAGCTCGGAAAACAGAAGTTCGAGTACTGCATGCTGCTGACTGGACAAAGCCACGTCACCATCAGCGACACTCCAGAAGCGAAGGGGAGTGTTGGGAACTGACAAAGTTGAAGAAAGAAAGAGGGTTGAACTAGCAGAAATGGGGATACAAATAGCAAACCCTAGAAGGGTTGTACTCGCTATAGAGCACCCCACTACAGGCTAGAACATAAGAATAATATTCTGACACACCCCCATAGCCAAAGTGGGGTGTAATTAGCAGAGCAGGCAAAGTAGTACAAGCTCAGGGTGGATCACAATGTCACCACACATTCTGAGCACAAGTTCAAGCAGAGATAGTTTAGAGTTCACAATTATGAGCAGAGCTAGTGGTAGTCACAACGGGCAAGTGAGGAGGAGGAGAGAGAGTGAGGGGAGAGGAGATAGGAGGCGACGGCTGAAGCTGCAGGCACACGGGCAACAGAAGGCACACTGGCACAGCGGCTACCGGACAGCGCCCGGACTACAGGAGTAACAGGCCCCGCGGCTCAAATAGCGGCGGACGGGCAACGGACCCACGGGCGGCTGGCACAGCTGGCTACGACTGGGCTACCGGGACAGCGCCCCGGACTACAAGTGCTGCGAACGACAAACTGACAACCTCCACTCAACCTCCCGCACACATTCCCACCCCCCTGATGCACACCCACTGCTACACCGCTAGCTGCACTCCCACGCACCCCCCTTAAACCCTAAACCCGAGGCTCCCACACAACCACCCCCCTCAGCGACAGCTGCAGCAGTGGGAGACGAAGGAGGAGGAGGAGCAAAGGGAGGAAGGCACACCGAGCACCCCCATACCCGCCACCCCACAGCAAGCGGCCCCCTCAGGTCGCCACGACGGACGACGGGAAATGGGAGGGAGGGGGGGGGGGGGGGTGGGGGGGGGGAGGCGGGGTGGTGAAAGGAACCCACCACGGGCCTGGTTGGAGGGCGGGGCCGCGACGAGGGGCGGGGCCGCGAAGTAGGGCGGGGCCGCTTCGAGGGGCGGGGCCGCGACACAGGGCGGGGCCGCGACGTAGGGCGGGGCCGCGACGGTCGGGGCAGGGCCGCTTCGAGGGGCGGGGCCGCGACACAGGGCGGGGCCGCGACGTAGGGCGGGGCCGCGACGGTCGGGGCAGGGCCGCTTCGAGGGGCGGGGCCGCAACGCAGGGCGGGGCCGCGACGTAGGGCGGGGCCGCGACGTAGGGCGGACGCCCGCGAAGGTAGGGCAGACGCCCGCCGCGCGCCTCGGGGCGCACAGCGGGCAAAGAACCGCCGCGCGCCCCGGGGCGCACGGCGGGCAGAAAACCGCCGCGCGCCTCGGGGCGCACGGCGGGAAGGAAAACCGCCGCACGCCTCGGGGCGCACGGCGGGAAGGAAAGGTAGCAGCGGAAGCGAGGTGGAAACCCACCCACAGGATCGATCCAAGGGGATCGACCTGCTCTGATAGCATGAAAAAGTTGAAGAAAGAAAGAGGGTTGAACTAGCAGAAATGGGGATACAAATAGCAAACCCTAGAAGGGTTGTACTCGCTATAGAGCACCCCACTACAGGCTAGAACATAAGAATAATATTCTGACAGGAACAACAAGTCTTGAGCGCCTCTGTCGTGTCGAAACTCAAGACACAAGCGAAGCAGTCCAAATCGAAGCATCGCGAGTCAACCCTCGGAGGTTAGGGTAACCGCTGGAGGTTACGAGAAGGTCAAAGGTCAGCGACCTTTGACTTGACAAATGCAGCGCGACAGCAAGGACACACAACTGACTCGACATTGAGCAGTTGCCCGAGTCGCACTGTATCGAATCGCAACAGTAAAACAGTTTAATCATATCTATTCGTATTCCTTGTACTCTTATATAAACCTTTGTATTTGCTTGTTTTAATCAACTTACTTTGCCCTCACATACTAGCGCAAGATGGTTCAAAGACCTTTTTCAACGCTTCCGCTATTACATCATCCTACTCGGACTTTAACTCTACAAAGATCCTAGGGCACTTCAATCCAACAAAGGTAACCGCTGGAGGTTACGCGAAGGTCAAAGGTCAGCGACCTTTGACTTGACAAATGCAGCGCGACAGTAAGGACACACAACTGACTCGACATTGAGCAGTTGCCCGAGTTGCAGTGTATCGAACCGCAACAGTAAAACAGTTTAATCATATCTATTCGTATTCCTTGTACTCTTATATAAGCCTTTGTATTTGCTTATTTAAAAAAAAAAACTTACTTTTCCCTCACATACTAGCGCAAGGTGGTTCAAAGAATTCATTCAAACGCTTCCGCTATTACACCCTTCTACTCTAACTTTAACTCTACAAAGATCCTAGGGCGCCTAAGCCCTACACATGTGACATGTGAAATGCTGTTTTGACAGGGCATTCAAAAACAGTGGCAAATACCAGGGGGCACTGTCTTTAGGGCCCATAAAGGGAGTTTTGGTATGCAAAGCCTGCCAAAATGTGCGGAAGGAAGCATTCAGCTACTCTAACACTGAACAGAACAAGAACTGATGTCAATATCCTAGGTTTAGAAAATTTCATAAGCCTTTTAGAGTTCAGAGTCAACAGGCGGCCGGTGCTACAACCATACATTGCAACGGGGAAACGCCGAACGCTTGCTAAGAATTGCTCAGCCATTTGTTGATTGGCCCCACATGTTCAACCAATCACACCTTCCAAACCAACCCGATGGCAGTCACTACATTTTCCCTTTCGGGATCACCTGGGTCACGATTCACCGAGGCGCGCACCAATCAGTAACCTTCGCGCCTCTTACAAACATCTAGGGGTCTCGGGTGATTCGTCCTTGGGCCTCACAAGCCACCCCCTCCATTCCCCATGTCGTTCGGTCGTTCAGTTGTTTATGCCTCCCAACCAGCTCGCTGAATCCACAAACCATTGTTTATTGCGAGGAATACGACCGCACCGTAATGAACGACGTCTATGTTCTTTTTCAGAATATCTGTGCAGTGATGTTCCCAAGGCTTGAAGGCGAGCACCACGGATACATGTCATGCTCCGCGCCACTGCCAGAGGCCTCGAATTTGCAGCAAACCCTTTCGACCTTTTTCCACCACAAACAGCAGAACTTGTGCCCAATGAGCAAAAACCCGATCGGCAGGAATCGAGTCGGCCAGATCTTGTCATTGCCTAGCAATGGCATTTTGGGGCTCTTAACTTTTCCAAGAGCCAAACTGGCCTCCTCACTGCAAGGGTTCTAGCGGTGGTAGATTGATGCTTCGTGGAGCTGTGCTGGCGACAGCACTGCCTCGTAAGTCTGTTATCCCCAAGAACCGTCATACGCCCCTCTGTGAGAATAGCAGCCAATGATTGTGCAGGCAAGCCGTGCCCGTTCAAATTTCTAAGTAGCGAAGTCCAACTTCCGAGTTTCACAGGGTCAGAGCATAGTAACCCGTGTGTTGGACAGATCACGCAGCTCCCATGGCTATCAGGAGACTACCTTGGGGTCCCCAGGCCCATGCGGATCTTCCCAGGAGACCAACGATGGCCGTTCAAAAAATGGCGGCTACCTTGCGCGCACGCAGAGCCAGGTTACTGACACGGGATTGGTTGATTCAGGAGCCGGGCTAGCATTGGCCGGCGGGCCGTCGTAGACGAGTCGGGCATGGGTAGTCTTCTCCTGAACGGCAAGAAATGATGCGGCTTTGGTCAGACTGTTGGGTACAGCAACTGATGCCTATTAAATCAACCATCTGAGTTGTATGACGAACCATATCCTCCGCGAGTCGGCGAATACTCTTCGTTTGACGATCTACCTCGCGACGAAGATTCCCTGCTCGGCTAAGCCGCTGAATCTCAAATCAAAACCGAGTCGAATCTATCGATCTCTAACCACCTTTAGACCGAATTCCGCATTGGACAGAACCATGGGGTTTCAGAGCGCGACCCTCGCCGCAGCCAACGCTACTCCTGTCGCGTTCCGAACCAGCAGCTTGAGCAGCCAGACTAAGCCCGAACACGGTTGTAGCAGCAGCTACATCCAGGTCCCCCACCGCATCGCGTCTTCCCCTTCACTCCTCCGCGCAACGACGTACCCCGCACACGTCCGCAGGCAAAATTTGGCAATTCCGCTGCGCGTTACGGCGGAAACTTCCCCCGCAGATACTGCCAAGCCTGGCGGCCCCAAACCTGGCGGTTCCAAGCCTAGAGACGTGACTCCCGCCGCCGCTGCTGCTGCTGACGGTCCGGGGGTTGTAGCGGGAGCTACTGCCGTCCTGGAGGCGCCTGCGGTGCTTCAGCCGTCGACGGCGGCCGGCAGCGACCCAGATGCGGTCCGGCTGGTACCGCGAGTGGAAGAGCGCGAGGGGTATTGGGTCCTAAAGGAGGAGTATAGAACGAGTCTTAATCCCGCGGAGAAGATTAAGATTGCCAAGGACCCGATGACGCTGATCGCGGAAGGCGGTAAGGCGCTTCGGGAGCTGGCTTTAAAGACGATGGCGGAGGTGGACGGGAGTAAGGAGGCGAAGGACGACATCGACTCGCGGCTCAAGTGGCTGGGGCTGTTTCATCGCCGCAAGCAGCAATGTGAGCCCAATATGTGTGATTCTCACGGCAATATGAGTAGCCGAAGTCCACTTCACGCGAAATTCTACTACGTGATTATAACAAAGCACTTGGGGCTGTATCCCTGAACTCCCTGCCCTTCTCTGCGACCACTTCTCCTCCTCCCCCCGCACAACTTCCCCCTCCATCCCCTCACTCTCGCAACAGTCGGTCGCTTCATCATGCGCTTGCGGCTGCCCAATGGTATCAGCAAGTACGCCCCTATTCTCCCTCCTCCCCCTTTCCCACTCGCCCTCCCTTTCCCCGTTACAGACGGTCGCTTCATGATGCGCCTGCGGTTACCCAACGGCATCATTACGAGCGAGCAGACGCGCTTCATCGCTGACGTCATCAGTCGTTACGGCGAGGAGGGCGTGGCGGACATCACGACGAGGCAGAACTGGCAGATCCGCGGGGTGACTCTTCAGGACACGCCGGACATCATTGAGGGGTTGAACAAGGTACAGTGCGGTGCTGAGGGGTTGGAGGGAGTACGTGGTACTACAGAGGAGGTACAGATCGGTGCTGAGGGGTGGGGGTGGGTAGGTGAGGAGGGCGTTGCTGACATCACGAGGCAGAACTGGCAAACCCGCGGAGTGAGTCTGCAGGGCACCCCAGAGATTATCGAGGGGCTGAAACGGGTACAGTGCGGTGCTGGGCGTTTGGAATGAGAATTATGTGGGACGACAGAGGAGAACGTGGCGGACATCACGACGTGGCAGAACTGGCAGATTTGCCGAGTGACTCTGCAGAACACGTTGGATATTATCGAGGGGTTGAAAAAGGTACAGGGTGGTGGTGCGGGAGGGTTGTTCTCAATACAGCCGCCTCCCTTAACTTGCCGCTCTTAAAGCCATTTCCCCCCCTCTTCCCTCTTCATCGTGTCGTTCTCCTCCTTCTCAGGTCAACCTTCGATTCATCCAGAGCGGAATGGACAATGCGCGCAACGTGGTGGGCAACCCACTGGCGGGGATCGACCCCCTCGAGATCATCGACACACGCCCCTTCTGCCAAGCCATCGATGACGTCATCACGGGCAATGGGGCGGGCAACAGGGCTCTGTCCAACCTGTGAGTGTCCCTGTGTGTTTGTGAGTTGACTTTTGAGTCGACTCAAAAATCAACACGGCTCTGCCCAACCTGTGAGTCTCTGTGTGTGTGAGTTTGTGTGTGAGTTAGTGTGCAAAAGACGGCACAAAAGATGGCCGCTGCTATACAGTGCGTAGAAAGACGGCACGCGTTCTTCCATTTTCCAAGGGCCCACTTTCCACCCCTTTCCCCCCCCCACTCTCTCCCCCCTTTCTTCCCCCCAATTGCAGTCCGCGCAAGTGGAATGCCAGTGTGGTGGGCTCACACGACCTATTCGAGCATCCCCACATCAACGATCTCGCCTTCATGCCGGCCCTCCGCCGAACCTCGGACGAAGGTTCGGAGGGGGAGATGGGGTTCGAGATGCACGTGGGAGGGTTCTTCAGCAGCAAGCGGTGCGAGGAGGCGATTCCGATGGACGCGTGGGTGCCAGCTCAGCCTGCTGACGTGGCGGCTGCCAGCAGGGCAGTGCTGGAGGCGTTCCGGGACCTTGGGAGCCGCAGCAACCGGCAAAAGACGAGGATGATGTACCTTATAGAGGATCTGGTGAGTTGGCTAATAGGGGAACTGATGAGCGTGTTTACAGAGAGGCTAGTGAGTGGGCTGATAGATGGGCGGGTGAGTAGCCTTAGTAAGGAGCTGATAAGTTCCTTATAGAGGGGCTGGTGAGTGGGCTGATAGAGGAGCGGGTGAGTAGCGTTCTATATGAGCTGATATGTTCCTTGTAGACAAGCGGTGACGTAGTAGTCGCAGCTAAACAGTGCTCTCCACCTTTTCCTCGCTTGTCCCCCCACCCTTCTCTCGTCAGGGCATGGAGGTGTTCCGAGCTGAGGTGGAGAAGCGCATGCCCAATGGCCACCTGCCACGTGTCAGCTCCACCTCTCATCTCACCACCAACGGTAGCTCCACCACCACCAACGGAAACGGCAGCTCCACCGCCAGCAGCAGCAACGGCACCACCGGCACCAGCAGCACTACTGTCATTCCCACAGTCCAGTCCCTGATTGATCCATCCTGGTCCCGAAGGTCCTACCTAGGGGTGCATCCCCAGAAGCAGCCTGGGCTGGTCTATGTGGGCCTGCATGTGCCTGTGGGCCGGGTTCACCCATCGACCCTGCACGAGCTCGCGCGATTGGCCGAGGAGTATGGCTCGGGGGAGGTTCGGCTGACTGTGGAGCAGAACGTGATTATACCGAACGTGCCTGAGGGGAGGGTGGCGGATCTGCTGAAAGAACCGCTATTGGTCGGTGGGAGTGGAGAGGTGGCAACGGGGGGAGAGAAAGGGGAGGGAGAGGCGGGGGCGGAGGAGGGGAAGGGGGAAGTGGGGAAAGGCGAGGGATTGTATGGGTTGAGTGCGCAGCCGGGGAATCTGATGGGGTCCCTGGTGGCGTGCACTGGTAACCAGTTCTGCGGACAGGCCATCATTGAAACCAAGCAGAGGGCGTTGCAGGTGAGAGGTGCATTGCGGTCGGGAGGGGCTGTATGGGTTTCTATATGGTTGAGTCTGATGGGGTCACTGGTGACATGCACTGGTAACCAGTTCTGCGGACAGGCCATCATTGAAACGAAGCAGAGGGCTCTGCAGGTGAGGGGGGGGCGATCAAACGGGGGTATACGGGGTAGTGCAGGTCAGGTTGCTTGCTTGCTTCTCATCATGTCCCAGATTTTCATGCTCTTACTCCCCATCTCCATGTTTCTTCTCTTTGCTTCAGGTCACGCGACAGCTGGAAGAGACTTTGAATCTGCCCGAGCCAGTGAGGATCCACTGGACCGGCTGCCCGAACTCTTGTGGGCAGGTGAGTTTGGAAAGCTTTTACCTGGTACACGGAACAAGTATTATGCACGTATCTCAAGCTAATTCCATTCTCTTCTTACTTTCTTTTGGGCTGCACATTCAATGGTAACTCTTGAATGTAGGTACAAGTGGCAGACATCGGGCTGATGGGATGCATGGCAAGAGACGAAAACAAGAAGCCCGTGGAAGGAGTTGACATCTATCTGGGTGGCAGAATCGGATCTGATTCTCACCTGGGGCAGGTGCACAAGGCAGGTGTACCCTGTAAGGACCTGGTACCTGTTCTTCAGGATATACTTGTGGAGAGGTTTGGTGCAACTAGAAAGTAATGAGAGAGGATTACTCTTCAGGACCTGCTGTGCTGCAGGCTGCCTGTTGCCTGAGTGAAATAGAATCACACCTGCTGCAGATGCTTGTTCACTTTGTTTGAAGAAAACATGTATTTGTATATGTTAGCATTGCAGTTGTTTCTTAAAAGTTAATCCTTCGCTAGTCAGCTAATTAGTGATGAATGGAGGGCCTGTACATGATACATGGGTAGACTCAATTGGGAATGCAGGACATGTCATGTGACTCACGCCCACAATATGTATTATTAGTGTAGCTTCTTCTATATTCCCATGGTGCTGCTTATATGGCGTAACCTATGGGAATATGAAGGTTTTGTACACCTCTTGCTGCCAATCTGGACACCTCAACCCCTAAGTTTCAGGTGACCAACCAGATTCACGTGGAGCCAAATAGGTTTGACATGCGTCTCGAGGTAAGCAAATAGGTTTGGACACACCTGAGAATCGATCCAATCGGGAAGAAGCAACGTGACACCACCGCGGGCAGCACAAGGTCAGGTCGGATACAGCACAGCACCATCTCGCTGAAGCCTGGCTCGCGCGCGCCGCAGAGAAGCAAACACAACCGCGACTCGGTCGCTCTGTCTCCCTTTTCCTCTCCCTACCTCCTCAGTCACCTCACATAAATGTTCGAACCCTAACATTTTCTTCCAACATCAAGCATTGCAACTTCTCCTAGTGAGCAATTAGAAGAGAGAAAACTCAATTCGACTGTACGTTAGTCCTTATCTGTATTGTAATTCCCTACGACTAAGCGCACACCCTCGCTTCTCACTCCTCTCCTAGGTTTCCAGAATGGCTAGAGCCGCGCTTCTCGCCTTGTCCCTGGCGCTGCTGCTCGCAGTCGCCCGCGCTGGCAGCCCACTGACGAGCGCCACCGCAAACGAGAAACCCGACCCGAGCAGCAAGAAGGACGACGGGCTCATGACCGAAATCCCGGCGGATATCGCGAAGCAGGCCGCGTCGGGCAACGCGGCGGGAGTTACCTACGTGGATACCGCGCAGGATTCGTTCTTCATGGCTGATGTGAAGAAGGCGGGGTGGAACGCGCAGAAATGCCCCCCTGGATTGAACAAGGAGCTTGCGGGGGCATGCACGCCGAAAAATTGCTCCAAGGGAGGTATCCCCGCTAAGTGGAAAACCGCTTATCTGCAAAAGAACAAGCTCGGTTACGAGCTGTACGTGCCGGGCAACCCGCTGACGTTGCTCAAGGCGAACCCCGCGTCGTGCTGCAATACCTGCGCCGCAACCCCGCTCTGCACGTACTGGCAGTACATTCCCGATATTACTATTGACGGGAAGAAGGGCAAGGGCGCGTGCTATTTGATCCACGACCAGATTGATTTCACCTGCGGAGAGATGACTGCACAGTATTCGACGGAAACGAAGCCGGTGAATCTTCAGGTGCGCATCGGCGGAGAGTGCAACCCTAGCGCAAAGATCCTCAACGACCCGCACTTGGTCGGCGCGCACGGCACACATTTCGACTTCAACGGCCGCCCCGACAAGGCGTTCTGCCTGCTCACGGACCGCGATCTTCACGTGAACATGCTGCTGAGGGGGTACTATGACGAGCGCACCGATAATGCCGCGCTTGTTGTCGACGGAAAGGCGGTGCACACGTGGATTAAGGAGCTCGGGATCGTCTGGACTGCCCAGGGCGCGGACCACAAGATTCGGCTCGCGGCGCGCGGCGGCAAGCAGCAGGAGCGCGGCGACGGGTTCATGAAGAACATCGAGATTGACGGCGAGGAGATCCCGAGGATGAAGGTTGGCGACACGGTGACGAGCGACGGCGGGCTGACGGTTCACTTCCGCGGGCTCGAGAAGGAAGGGCCGTTCGATGTGGATTACTACATGCTAACGATCGACGGTCTAATTTCGTTGGATCTGCGCCTGCGCGTCGCGCACCCGAAGCTGCAGACCCCGACCGACGCCGAGGCGCATATCAACGTCGGGATTGCCGAGTTGGAGCACACGGAGGATATCCATGGTGTGTTGGGGCAGACGTACCGCGCGGATCATACCCAGCGCGCTTCGGATTTCCAACGGTTGATCGCGAGCCTGCACCGTCCGATTTCGGCTGACGCTGCGGAGGGGAAGGGGTTCTTGGATGGTACACCCAGGTCGTATGAGGCGAGTGATGTGCTTGCTGTGGACTGCGCTTATACCGCGTATGGCCGCGCCAGGAACGTTATGCCTGTGCAACGGTTCCCGTAAAGGATTGCCTCGGTGACAGCTTTTATACTTGTATTGTACAGTGGGCTGCTCTGGGTACTAGGTTTATAGACAAAAGGGCTGATTTGTTCATTCTTTGGACAATGTCGACATGGAATGAGAAACTGCTCATCTACTGACTTTTGATTGCATCATTTGACATCCAGAAACAACGTGGTTCATCTCTCCAACAGAGCATCTCACTTGATAATGACAGCCATAGGCCATATCACCCACCCATCAATTCTACCTAAAATCTACCGTACCCTGCTTGACTAGATTTATCCTTTATGCTGACCTAGCTGAACGCATTGCAGTAACATGCCAGTAACTGAAGCTTGGTGGTGCTGCAACAGGTTGTAACAGGGGAAACTACTGGTATGACAGGAGAAGGTAGGAGGACAGAAATGCTGGGGCAGGTTGTAGTACAATGTAACACTGATGAAGGAGGTTACAGCACAGAGACAGGGGCAGGCTGCAATGCAGCAACAGGAGCAGCTTGTAATGAGGTCACAATTGCAGTACCAGCAGGCGAGGGCGTTTGAGACTCAAACGAGGCATGCATTAGCGGCACACCAGCACCTCCTTCCACAGCACCTGTTACAGAGTTCAGCAGCAATGGAGGTGGAACAGAGGCGTCTGGAGCTGATGCTGCCGCTGCGGCTCCTGCTGCCGCTGCTTGGGATGCGCATGCTACAGAAGGGGCAGCGGCAGCAGCAGCAGCAGCGGGGACCGCAAAAGAGGGAGCAGTGGCGAAGGGGGCAGAAGGGACAGCAGTGGGGGCAGTGGGGACAGCGGGGGCAGAGAGGGCAGAGGGGTCAGTGGGGAAAGAGAGGGGGTTGGTTGCGGTTGTGTGGGTTGGGGGATATGCGGGAGGCTCTTGGGTCATGGCTGACTCGGGGGGGGGATTGGCGGCAGTGGTTGGTACAGGTGTCTGGGCTGGCGCAGGAACAGCTGCAGCGGAAAGGTGAAGCGCCTGCCCCTGCGCCTGTGATGCTTGCGCCTGCGCTGCCTGCGCGGAAGCTTCTAGCTCGCGCTGCAGCCCCGAAAGCTCCTGCTGCGCTACAAGCAGCTCCGTTTGCAGATGAACGACGTGCTGCTGCAGTAACGAAATCGCGCTCACGCAGCCGTACACCGGGTCCTGAACTCGCGCCTCCGCCTCGTACGCCATGCTATTCGCCGCGTCTCCGCGCAGCTCCGGCGGAAGCTCCGCCAGGATCCGCGTGACGTTACTCGCGCCGAACACGCGGTGAACGTTCGCGAATCGCCCCGGCTGGTCCGGCGGGAAGTACGGCGCGAAAACGCACTCCGCCGTGCATTTCCGCCGAAGGAACTTGCACGCGGCGCACGGGGACGCGGTTCGACCGTGAGGCGACTCCTCGATTGAAATAGCGGCGGTAGATGCGGCGGAAGAGTCGGAGGCGCCGGCGCTCAAGGAGGAAACGGCGGAAGCCGCCATTGACGCGGCCGACGAAGCTGCTGCTGGCGCTCGTGCTTCAACAGGGGAGGTTTCGTGAGTACTAGCATCCATAACCGAAAAGAGCCTCTCCTGTTGCTCCGCTTGCCTGTTGCCCCGCTCGCCTGCTGCTCCGCTCGCCTGCTGCTCCGCTCGCCTGCTGATCCGCTCGCCTGCTGCTCCGCTCGTCTGCTGCTCCGCTCGTCTGCTGCTCCGCTCGTCTGCTGCTCCGCTCACCTCCTGCCCTGCTCGTCTGCCCCTCCGTTCGCCTGCTGTTCGTTGAAAGTCCAAGCGCCTCACCCGTTTCTCCGCTCCTGTTTCTCCGCTCGCTCGTTTCTCCGCTCGCCCGTTTCTCCGGTCGCTGTTTCTCCGCTCGCCCGTTTCTCCGCTCGCCCGTTTCTCCGCTCCCGTTTCTACGCTCCTGTTTCTCCGCTCGCCCGTTTCTACGCTCCTATTTCTCCGCTCGCCCGTTTCTACGCTCCTGTTTCTCCGCTCGCCCGTTTCTACGCTCCTTTTCTCCGCTCGCCCGTTTCTACGCTCCTTTTCTCCGCTCGCCCGTTTCTACGCTCCTTTTCTCCGCTCGCCCGTTTCTACGCTCCTATTTCTCCGCTCGCCCGTTTCTACGCTCCTGTTTCTCCGCTCGCCCGTTTCTACGCTCCTTTTCTCCGCTCGCCCGTTTCTACGCTCCTTTTCTCCGCTCGCCCGTTTCTACGCTCCTTTTCTCCGCTCGCCCGTTTCTCCGCTCCTGCTTCTCCGCTCGCCTGTTTCTCCGCTTGCCTGCTCTCCGCTCGTTCTGCTGCTCCTTGAAAATCCAGAAGTGGGCGGCTCCACCGACGCAGACTGACTATGCAACAGGTTAAAAATCTACTTAACCTTCGCCTTTCAAAACTCCAAAAGGAGTTACCCTTTCAAAAAACTAAAATAAATACTCGAATTACAATTGGGGATGCGGTTGCTAAGGCGTCTCAGTCAGTGAAACTTCCAGCTGTTTATGAGAGTGGTGTTCTCGTCGCGACCATTCGCCATGTCGTCACTCGGCGCTCCTCCGCGATTCGGAGCTCTTAATCAGTGCAGAGGTGTCGACTAAGGCGACTTAAACGATGTGTTTTGAGGCGCCTCGAATCGCGTCGCTCGGCGCTCCTCCGCGAGACGGAGCTCCCAAACAGCCCAGCGGTTTCAACTATAGCAATTGACGGAGTGTCGCAAATATTATTGCAACGCGTCTTTGCTTCTAGGCAACGCAGCAGTTTGCTACTGCCACAGGGAAGCTCCTAACGGATCACAGAAGGCCCAACAACTGGAGGTTTTAACTAAGGTGGAGCTTGCAGGAAGTGTCAAAATGTGTCCAAATCCGTCCGGTAAAAGCGGAACGAAGGCCCTGGTGGCCGCAGGAGGCGGAGCGATAGGCAGGATTATTAAGGCTTAATGCCTACGGAAGTGTGGCGGATAAAACTCCCGCGCAACCCTCATTGGCAGGGAAAGCCAGCCGTGGAAATCGTTTTCCTGTGAACTGAAGGGGAAAGCAGATGCGTTGTGAGGGGATAAGGGGGTTTGGATTTAGCTGGTTTTGGGAAGAAACGGGGCTGGGATGGGCTGGAATGGGCTCTGCTAGTTTGAGAAAGGGTAAGCGGGTGTTGAGGTGTGGAAGGACGATTGTTTGGGGTCTGCTCGACGTGGAACTGAAATGCGTGACGAGCAGTTTCGCGAGTAGGGATCATGCGGTCTGGTCTGAATGGGATACTGTTGGGAAGTTGACGGATTGGCTGGTGAGTACAGATGGCGTGTCGTGGGCAGTTCAATGTACAAGTGGCGGAACGTTTTCCGCGATAACGTGACGTCAGTTCATGTACAGTAGTACAGCATTTGCACAAAAGGGAGAACACGGGCTGCCCGAGTTCGAGTGTGAGCCTCAGGCTGAATATTCTTCTGTAAAGGGTTAAGGAAATACGGATTATTGGCCTCTATACGGTATATTGACCTTGATGTTTTCCTTTGTTTGACAGGAATGTGAGAGAGAGAGAGAGAGAGAGAGAGAGAAAAAAAAAAGGATTTGGTTCTCCTTGACTGACCAAGTCAGCGGTGCCAGGAGAAGCACTGAATCGCCAGGCCAGCGAAGCGGATGAGAAAAAGGCGCCTCCCAGTCGTGTGGAAGACAGCTGACCAATAACGTTATCCAGAAGCTGGTTTGGCGTGCGTGGGAATCAGGTGGCAATGACGTGCCAGCCGTCTTTCACAAGAAGGTCGAAAGACGTGGAGATTTGAGATTGGTGAAGACACACTTCTGGACGTTCGGCTGAAGTCATGTTGGGAAGCCACCCCAGGAATACAGGAAATGTTAACGAATTGTAGCAGTTGTGGCAGAACTTAGTTGGTGCCGTTGCTGTGCTTGTATTCCTTGGATCAGGGGACAGCCTACCAGAGCGTGTTTCAATTGTGCAATACCCTACCACACCGCTCGAGAATTTTGTGTGGATGTGCGAATCTTCGCTACAAGATCTTAGCTCACTTGCTAGGTAGCGCTGATAGGGATGTGGCTTGCGTACATGGGTAATCAGAATTTGACACATTACAATACCACACAGCTATAAAAGACATTCAACAGAGCCCGCAAGTGTTCCTGATTGAACACCATGTCCTCAAGTGAGAAAGCGTGAAGAAAAATGCATTTACTCTCAGTAGCAATAACAACATTGACCCACTAGGTGTAAAGAAATATAGGAAAACATACGTTTTAAAGATGTGTGCGCCCCTATCTCTTATATATCTACACCGCAATAGGTTGTACTGCCAGCACTGATCTCACCGAATGCACCCCGTCTGTCCACGTCAGACTGCCAAACGAAAACGCGCCTGTCGCAGCTGTCGGGCGTAGGGTAACCGTAAACGCTTGCGACTTGCCCGGGCCAATCACGAAGCTCGTCGGACGCACTGTCACGGCGACATTCTTCGGAGCAACCACTGCAGCAGAATACCTAGACTGCTTCCCGCTCACATTAATCACACTTCGATAAACCGACACGGTGCTCCGTAGCTTGGGCACGCAGATGTTCGGCTGGTTGAGATTGAACGGTTGGATTGGCGCCACGTTCCACCGCGGAAACGCCGCCTTGGCTTGAGTTCGATCGATCCCCGTCAGAAACGACAAGTAACCCATCATACCAACATCGTACACCAAACCTGGATCGAGCGCCTTCGCAGGAAAAACGTGGCCCGATCCGTAATTCCAGGGCGACGCCATTCGTCCCTTCGCGGTCCGGATAAACTTCCTCGCCGTGTTAGTCGTATACGCCGTCGTTAGCATCGCGGATTTAATCGCCGCGGGGCTCCAAGTCGGGTATTTCTGCATAAGTATCGCCGCGATTCCCGCTATATGCGGGGCGGCCATGGATGTCCCGGAAAGTGCGCGGAAGGATCCTTCAGAGGAAGACCCCGCGGCCATGGGTCCGAGGAGAGAGACGCCCGGCGCGGTGATGTCGGGCTTTAAGATGGCGTTGGTGACCTTGCTGCTGTCGTAGAAGCCTGCAGCGGGATTGACGGAGGGACCTGCGCCTGAAAAGACGGCCATTTCGGGAGCCACCTGCTTGGGTAGGAAGAGCGCCGAGAGGGTTGCGGTGGGACTGTTTGGGGGGGCGAGAGGGGGGGGGGGAGGGGATGGAAGTGGGGAGTAGAGGGGATTTGGCGGACAGGGGGAGGAGTGGGGAGTAAGTTGGGGGAAGGAGCTGGGCATGGTGGGAGCCACCTGCTTGGGTAGGAAGAGCGCTGAGAGGGTTGCAGTAGGACTGTTTTGGGGGGGAGAGGGGGAGAGAATGGGGGGAAGTGTGAGGAAGTGAAAACGGGGGAGTGGGAAGGGAGGAGGGTCCTGCACCGGGAAAGACGGCCATTTTGGGAGCCACCTGCTTGAGTAGGAAGACCGCTGAGAGGGTTGCGGTGGGATTGTTGGGGTGGAGGAAAGGGGAGAGAGAGTTGGCGGGGGGGAATGGGAAGGGGGGGGAGGAAGAGGTTAGGGGGGTGTATGTTTGGAAAAGAACGTCAAGGCTGGGGGAGAGCAGGGAAAAGATTGACGGCGGGGCCAGCGCCGCCGGTGGGAAAAGACGGGTGGGGGCGACGGTGACTTTTGAGTCGACTCCAAGAGACCTTTGAGGGGAAGCATTAACAAGGTGGTCCTGTGGCGGAGAAGGTGACCATGGCAGGAGCGACCTGCGAAAGACAGAGCGAGCTGCGAAAGACAGAGCGAGCTGCGAAAGACAGACTGACCTGCTATTCTGCAGGAAGAGTGGCAGGAAGGACTTGCGAATGTACTTCACTTGGGGGTGCTGCGAATGTACTCACTTGGGGTTGCTGCGAATGTACTCACTTGGGGGTGCTGCAAATATACTTACTTGGGGGTGCTGCGAATATACTCGCGAATGGCCTTGCCCTTCCAGAACACAGGGAACAGCCCTGGCAATCCCAAGGCCACGGCCTTCACTGCGCCCTCCCCATTCGCATATGGCACCACAATGATCGCCCGCCCGCCCACCCTCGCCACCTCTGCTGCCTTCTCACTCGCGTAGGAGAATCCCGTGCAGCACACCACGATCTTGCCTCGCACCTGATTGGAGGTTGAAAGAGAGAGCAATGGAAAGAGAGGGTGGGATGAGCATGAGTGTGTGAATGCTAGTTCTCCACCCTTGCCACCTCCGCTGCCTTGTCGCTCGCGTAGGAGAATCCCGTGCAGCACACCCCGGTCTTGCCCCGCACCTGTGCGGGTGGGTTGGTTGAAAGCGGAGGGATGGGGGGAGGTTGGAGTGGAGACGAGTGTGCAAGGATTCCCCACCCTCGCCACCTCCGCTGCATGAATGTTTACAAGTTAATTCCCCACCCTCGCCACCTCCGCTGCCTTCTCGCTCGTGTAGGAGCATCCCTTCAGCACACCACGATCTCCTACGATCGTGATTAACCGTCGCACATCTTGCCCAAAACCTGGCGGGTGGATGGAGAGGAGTGTGAGGGAGGGAGGGAGGGGTGGGAGGAGAGGATGGGATTGTGCATGTTTAGGAAGACAGTTTCGACCCAGATCCCTTGTAGCATAGGAAGATAGTTTCGACCCAGATCCAGCAGAAAATTGTCAATCAAACCTGAGCGTAGAGGAGAGGGTGGGGTTGTGCATGAATAGGAAGATAGTTTCGACCCAGATCCCTTGTAGCATAGGAAATAGTTTCGACCAGATCCAGCAGAAAATTGTCAATCAAACCTGAGCGTAGAGGAGAGGGTGGGGTTGTGCATGAATAGGAAGATAGTTTCGACCCTCCACCAGCAGATCTAACTCGTTCTGATCTCTTCTAGGCTGAGCTTAGGCTAGTAGGGATTGAATAGGTAAGAAATTTGTCATTCAAACCTGAGCGTAGAGGAGAGGATGGGGTTGTGCATGAATGTTTACAAGTTAATTTCCCACCCTTGCCACCTCTGCTGCCTTCTCGCTCGCGTAGGAGAATCCTGCGCAGCACAGCAGCAGCAGATGTCTTGGCATTCACCAAGGCAGCCGGTGCGTGGTGTGGCAGTGCTGCCGCCCAGCAGCAGAGGCAGCGGGTGAAGGGGAGGGATTCTTGGCAGCGGTGGACAGTCATTTTGGAAGACTTTTGAGGCGCCTCAAAAGTCGTCAAAAGTTGTCAAAAGTCGTTTTGAGGCGCCAAAAAAGGGGAGGGATTCTCGGCAGCAGCGGACAGTCTTTTTGCAAGGGAGTGAGGTGAGGGATTGCCGATGCATACCTTGGAAGGAGAGAGAGAGCGAGTAGGGCACGCAGGCTTCGGCTTGAGAAGCCGTGTACCCGGCAGCAGGAGCGGCTGTCTTGGCAATCTTCAGAGGCAGCCGGCGCGTGGCAGCGCTGCCACTTACCTCCCAGCAGCAGGAAGGCACGCTCCATACACTCCCTCGTGAACCCACCTTGGAGGGCGACGTTTTGAGTCCACTCAGGATGTGATGTGATGTGATGTGATGTGATGTGATGTGATGTGATGTGATGTGATGTGATGTGATGTGATGTGATGTGATGTGATGTGATGTGATGTGATGTGATGTGATGTGATGTGATGTGTGTGCATATTAGAGAGGCACTCTCCACTCCATACACTCCCTTGTGAACCCACCTTGGAGGCTAAGGAGCTTACCTTGGAGGGCGACAAGGAGTAGGGCACGCAGGCTTCAGCTTGGGAAGCCGTGTAGCCAGCAGCAGCGGATGTCTTGCCGGCCACTAGAGGCAGGTGGCAAGGGGGTATATATGTTGGACGGGAGTGTAAGACAAACGAACCCACCTTGGAGGGCGACAAGGAGTAGGGCACGCAGGCTTCGGCCTGAGAAGCCGTGCACCCGGCAGCAGCGGACGTGTGAGCGGCAGGGAGCGAGTAAGAACCTTGTGACGCCACCCCGGAAGGCAATAGAAGAGTACCTTGGAAGGAGAGAGCGAGTAGGGCACGCAGGCTTCAGCCTGAGAAGCCGTGTACCCGGCAGCAGCGGACGTGTGAGCGGCAGGGAGCGAGTAAGAACCTTGTGACGCCACCCCGGAAGGCAATAGAAGAGTAACTTGGAAGGAGAGAGCGAGTAGGGCACGCAGGCTTCGGCCTGAGAAGCCGTGTACCCGGCAGCAGCGGACGTGTGAGCGGCAGGGAGCGAGTAAGAACCTTGTGACGCCACCCCGGAAGGCAATAGAAGAGTAACTTGGAAGGAGAGAGCGAGTAGGGCACGCAGGCTTCGGCCTGAGAAGCCGTGTACCCGGCAGCAGCGGACGTGTGAGCGGCAGGGAGCGAGTAAGAACCTTGTGACGCCACCCCGGAAGGCAATAGAAGAGTACCTTGGAAGGAGAGAGCGAGTAGGGCACGCAGGCTTCAGCCTGAGAAGCCGTGTACCCGGCAGCAGCGGACGTGTGAGCGGCAGGGAGCGAGTAAGAACCTTGTGACGCCACCCCGGAAGGCAATAGAAGAGTAACTTGGAAGGAGAGAGCGAGTAGGGCACGCAGGCTTCGGCCTGAGAAGCCGTGTACCCGGCAGCAGCGGACGTGTGAGCGGCAGGGAGCGAGTAAGAACCTTGTGACGCCACCCCGGAAGGCAATAGAAGAGTACCTTGGAAGGAGAGAGCGAGTAGGGCACGCAGGCTTTGGCCTGAGAAGCCGTGTACCCGGCAGCAGCGGACGTGTGAGCGGCAGGGAGCGAGTAAGAACCTTGTGCCGCCACCCCGGAAGGCAATAGAAGAGTACCTTGGAAGGAGAGAGCGAGTAGGGCACGCAGGCTTCGGCCTGAGAAGCCGTGTACCCGGCAGCAGCGGACGTGTGAGCGGCAGGGAGCGAGTAAGAACCTTGTGACGCCACCCCGGAAGGCAATAGAAGAGTAACTTGGAAGGAGAGAGCGAGTAGGGCACGCAGGCTTCGGCCTGAGAAGCCGTGTACCCGGCAGCAGCGGACGTGTGAGCGGCAGGGAGCGAGTAAGAACCTTGTGACGCCACCCCGGAAGGCAATAGAAGAGTAACTTGGAAGGAGAGAGCGAGTAGGGCACGCAGGCTTCGGCCTGAGAAGCCGTGTACCCGGCAGCAGCGGACGTGTGAGCGGCAGGGAGCGAGTAAGAACCTTGTGACGCCACCCCGGAAGGCAATAGAAGAGTACCTTGGAAGGAGAGAGCGAGTAGGGCACGCAGGCTTCAGCCTGAGAAGCCGTGTACCCGGCAGCAGCGGACGTGTGAGCGGCAGGGAGCGAGTAAGAACCTTGTGACGCCACCCCGGAAGGCAATAGAAGAGTAACTTGGAAGGAGAGAGCGAGTAGGGCACGCAGGCTTCGGCCTGAGAAGCCGTGTACCCGGCAGCAGCGGACGTGTGAGCGGCAGGGAGCGAGTAAGAACCTTGTGACGCCACCCCGGAAGGCAATAGAAGAGTACCTTGGAAGGAGAGAGCGAGTAGGGCACGCAGGCTTTGGCCTGAGAAGCCGTGTACCCGGCAGCAGCGGACGTGTGAGCGGCAGGGAGCGAGTAAGAACCTTGTGCCGCCACCCCGGAAGGCAATAGAAGAGTACCTTGGAAGGAGAGAGCGAGTAGGGCACGCAGGCTTCGGCCTGAGAAGCCGTGTACCCGGCAGCAGCGGCTGTATTGCCATCCACCAGGGGCGGCCGGCGCGTGGCAGTGCTGCCCCCGGCAGAGGCAGCGAATGACGGGTACAGTCCGTTTCAAAGAGGGGAAAACATGCGGGATTCTCAGTGCATACCTTGGAAGGAGAGAGGGAGTAGGGCACGCAGGCTTCGGCTTGAGAAGCCGTGTACCCGGCAGCCGCGGCTGTCTTGCCATCCACCAGAGGCAGGCGGCGCGTGGCAGTGCTGCCGCCCAGGAGTGTCTCCCCCAGGTAGCTCTGCCTGTTGCCCAGCGACAGCCGGGCTTGGGGCGGCCAGGCTTGGCTGGACGTGCTGGGGATGGGAGATAGGGGAGGGAGGCGGGGGAAGGGGGGGAGGTAGAGGAAAAGGGTTGGACAGCGTAGACAGGGAGAGGGCTATTGGGCTAACGACGGGAGATAAGAGGGGAAGTGGGACTGGGCAGCATACACTAGCCTACCTGGCAGCAACACTAGCCTACCTGGCAGCAACACTAGCCTACCTGGCAGCAACACTAGCCTACCTGGCAGCAACATTAGCCTACCTGGCAGCAACACTAGCCTACCTGGCAGCAACACTAGCCTACCTGGCAGCAACACTAGCCTACCTGGCAGCAACGGTGATATAGTAAGGCGAGAGGTTGGTGAGAGTGTGATAAACCCTGCTTGCACACTGCACTGGTCAGCATACCAGCTGCAAACATACCTGGCTGCAACAGTTATGTAGTAAGGCGAGAGGTTGGTGAGCGTGCGATAGAGCTTGGGGCTTGCTGGGGGAGGCCCGCTGTTGCCCGCTACCAGTGACACAAACACCCCTGCCTGCTCGGATGGTAGGGAAGGGTAGAGGGGGCAGGAGAAGGAAGGAGCGGGGTGGGTGTGCTGTTAGTTAGACCTTGGGGTTTGCGGGGGGAGGCCTGCTGTTGACTCCTACCAGTGACAGGAACACCCCTGCCTGCTCGTGGTAACAGGGAGGGTAAAAGGCGTGACTAGGGTGGGGTTGCAAAGTTATGTGGGTGGTGCAGATCTTGCTGCTTCCAGGCGAGGTGACTTCTGAGTCGACTCAAAAGTCACCTGGTATGCAGAGTTATGTGGGTGGTGCAGATCTTGCTGCTTCCAGGCGGGTGAGTGCCCGCTGTTGCCCACTACCAATAATGCCACGAACATGGCTGCGCACACATGGCTGCGCACACATGGCTGCGCACACATGGGTGCGCACACATGGCTGCGCACACATGGCTGCGCACACCCACGCAACTAGTTGGCTCTTTAAGAATTTGCATGGACCAACTACTCCCACTCACCCTCGCCGCCCTCCCACACACCTACTTACCCTCACAGCTTACCCTCTTGAAGCTCCCTCTCTCTCACAGATTACCCTGGCAGCACGCAGCATGGCCAGGTGCTTGAAGCAGGTCTCCTCGTTGATCGCCACCCACATGCTCAGCACATCCACACCCACACCGACAAGCAACGTGTGCTCATCCTCTCATCTCCCACTCCCCACCGACATGCTCAGCGCTCACTTGAGCAACAAGCATGGTTGTACACACCTGCGGAACCAGCTGGCCCCTCAGCTTACCCTCGCTGCCCTGAGCATCGCGAGGTGCTTGAAATACGTCTCCTCATTAATAGCCACCCACATGCTCAGCACATCCACACCCACACCGACAAGCATGTGTGCTCACCCTCTCATCTCCCACTCACCCTAGCAGCCCTTAACATCGCCAGGTGCTTGAAGTAGGTCTCCTCGTTGATTGCCACTGACATGCTCAGCACATCCACACCGTCCGCCACCGCGCGATCAACGGCTGCAAACACGTCCGAGTCCGATCCAACGGCCAGCTTGCCCTGCACCCAGATGGCCTTGTAGACTGCTATCCGTGCTCTGGGTGCCATGCCACTCGCTGTACCGAACTGCACCCCTCCTCCGGATACTTTCACCGGGTTGCCTGCTGCGGCCCTGATGAGCAACCGGCGAAGGAAGGGGCGAAAGAAAGAGAGGGAAGGAGAGGGCCATTCAACAACCGACGGCCAGCCAGCTTGCCAGCTTGCCCTGCACCCAGATGGCCTTGTAGACGGCTATCCGTGCTCTGGGTGCCATGCCACTCGCTGTTTCGAACTGCACCGCTCCTCCGGACACCTTCACAGGATTTCCCGCTGCCATGCCCCTGACATACACACTGCCATGCCCCTGCCATACACACTCACATGCCCCATGCACACAAGGCCCCAATGCCCCACATTCAACGTACCCCGCACACCACGTGCCGTGGTCACTGGCGTCCCTGGGAGAGAGATATTCTGTGGAGGGGTCCACAACCCCACCAGACGCCACGAGCCCCTCGGCAAAGTAGCGTGCGCCAATGATCTTCTTGCTGCAGCCCTTGAAGTCGCTCGTGGTCGTGCACTTGCCACGCCAGCGGGGAGGCACGGGGGGGTAGCCCTGGGAGGGAGAAGGGAGCGGGTGGAGGAGCAGTGAGGGAGACGATCTTCTTGCTGCAGCTTTTGAAGTCGCTGGTCGTGGTGCACTTGCCTCGCCAGGGCACGGGGGGATAGACCTGCAGAGGGGAGAACGGGGAGGAGGGAGTGGGAGGGAGAATGGGCGGGTGACTGTGTGAGCCAAAAAGTTACCCATATCCACGATCCCAATGATCATGCCCCATAATGACACACGCACGCCATGTTACCATGTCACCACACATGCATACCTTGTCACTGAAGCTGGGGTGTTCAGGCCAGATACCCGTATCCACGATCCTAATGATCATGCCCCGAACAACACACCCACTCCATCTTGCCACTCCATGTTACCAGGACAACACACACAGACACGCATGCACATCTTATCGCTGAAGCTGGGTCGGGCCAGATACCCGTATCTACGATCATGCACATCTTATGCACAACCAGAACGCCACGATCACTGTGTCATCTTGTTTGCATGCACGCACACAGACACCCTCGCATATGCACATGCATACCTTATCACTGAAGCTGGAGTGTTCAGGCCAGATACCAGTATCCACGATCCCAATGATCAGGCACATAACGACACATACACCCCAAGTTACCATGTTACCACATTACCGTGTCACCCCACACATCCATACCTTGTCGCTGAAGCTGGGGTGTTCAGGCCAGATGCCCGTATCCACGATCCCAATGATCATGCCGTTGCCCGCCTTGGTCCTCCCGCCCACGCTCGGCCACACGCGAGAGGGCAGCTGCAGGAACTGCGGCGTGTGGATGGTCTGAACAGAGACCGTTTGGGATCTTTCCACCTTGAGAACTGACTCGTGTCGCTGCAAGCGATGGGCCTCTGAACGGGTCAGCTTGACACTCACTCCGTTTAACACGTAGCGGTAGCTGTTTTGGGGGGGAGGGAGGAGGGTGGCAGCACGTTGGGGGAAAGGAAGCAAGGGTGAGAGGGCCGCTGGTCGCGAGGGCATCTGCAGGAACTGCGGCGTGTGGATGGTCTGAACAGAGACCGTTTGGCATCGCTCCACTTTCAGCACCGACTCGTGCCGCTGCAAGCGGTGGGCCTCTGAGCGGGTCAGCTCGACGCTCACTCCGTTCAGCACGTAGCGGTAGCTGTGGGGAGAAGGAAGATAGGCGGGGAATGGAATGAGAGAGGGGGACGGGGAAAGGGAGTGCCGCTGCAAGCGGTGGGCTTCTGTGGGCGTCAGTTTCACGCTCATTCCGGTCAACACATAGTGGGTAGCTGTTTCGGGGTGTTGGGGAGGGGAAAAACCGAAACTTAAAAATACCGAGGCTTGGGATTCCGAACCTCAGGAGCACCGAAACTTGAAAATACCGAGCCTTGGAAACACCGAGCCTTGGGAATACCGAGCCTTGGGAATACCGAACCTTGGGTCCGTCTTGTGCACGATGCGCCCCTTGGGAATATCGACGGCCTGCAGCATGTGCTGCTACACGCCCCAAGCACTGGCAACCTCTCACCACCTTCCCTCCTCCCATTTCCCTCACCTGTGCACCATGAGGCCTTTGAGAATGCAGACCCTTGGGATTACCGAGCTTTGGGAATCCCGAACTTTGAGAACATTCACCTGTGCACGATGCGATTCTTGGGAATACCGACGGCCTGCAGCATGTGCTGCTGCACGCCCCCCACGAACTGCGCGAACGCGCGCACGTCGCTCTCGCGCTCGTCCGCGCGCCTGCTGCCGCGCGGCCCGTCCAGCGCCCCCATCGCCTGCACCGCCGCCGCCGCCGCCGCTGCTCTGCTTGCTGCTGCCCTTGATCTTGCTCGTCTTCCTCCTCCTACTCCTCCTGCTCCTGCTGTTGCGATTGATGCCACTGAAGCGTTTAGAAGTCCTGTTATCGCTTCCCCTGTGCTCCTTGCGCCTCCGCTGCTTGCGCCTGCGGACCTTCCGCCTGCGCCAGCAGCACCATTTGTAGCATACGGGGCCCCTGTAGCATCCGAATCGTATCCAGCCTCCAAGCTCTCCCCAGCATCATCAGCATCATCATCTGTAGCGGCTGTAGCAGCAGAGGCAGTAAGACCGTCGCCTGTAGCAGGAGCGGCTGTAGCAGCAAACCCGGGGATGCCGCCCTTATAGTCTATAACGGACGGCACGTTTCTGAAATACACGATATATAGTTCCTCGCCACTGGGTCGTCTAGTGGACCCCGACGAACCTGACGCTGCTGTATCAGCAGCGGCGGTTGTAGCCGCTGACGTGGCAGAGGTTGTAGCTGCTGACGTGGCAGATAGTTTAGCGGGTTTCTCTGGTTGCCGTCCGGGCACTTCCCATAGTCGAGGCCCCGCTATAGTCACCACTGGTAGCGCGTCCTCGTTATCGTCCGCCCCGTTATTGCGTTGCCAGTTTTGGAAGAGTGAAGCGGAGGCAGCTGCGGTGGAAGCATCGGCGGAAGAGTTCGGGGGAGGGGGCGCGGGGATGGCGGGGAAGAGATATTGCGCGGATGCTGCCGAGGGGCGCGGGTAAGGGAAGAGCGGAGGAGAAGGGGAAGGGGTGGAGGTGAGGGGAGACAAGGAAAAAGTGAGGAAAGGAAGGGAAGAAGGAAAAAGATAATCATAATAATAAACGGGGGTCGGGGGAAGGAGCCAAGGGGGGGATGGGGGACGAGTGATAAGACGCGCGCGCGGAAGCGAGCGTGGCGGTAGGCGGAGGTAGAGACGAAGTGATCGGAAGCGCTTGGGGAGGTGGGGGGAGTGAGGGTAGGCGTTTAGGGGGGACAAGGCGCGCGCGGGGCAAAAAAGCGCACGTGGTGGAAAAGGCGCGCGGGGGGTGAAAAGGGCGCACGCGCACCTGGGGAAGTTGCGGAAAAAGCGGCGATGAGCGCAAGGAGCGCAGCCGTCACCGTGCAGCAAGCGCGTCCGCTATTAACGAAGCTTCCCCAGGCATTGCGGCGGTAGATGAAACCGCGGCAGCGCGCCATTAAGCCTGCCTACAGTCAACCTCGCTACAATATTGAGTCGCTACAATTACGATAGTCCAATCTCGCTACAAGCACACGAGCCCTGGAATTGCTATAAATACCGATCTTGCGGGTCGACACCCGATCAGTGTACTCCCGGTGAGGACATCTTGCAAACGCGAATCTGCTTACAACGAGGACTCCTGGCCTGGCGGGAAACGATTATGAAATGAACGAGGGCTCGTCGTAAAGACGCCGTCTTTGCCTCCTTGACGAACTATATGGTACAGTTAGTTCAATACCGTCGTCGGTCGAGGCGCGGTTGGTATCTTAGAGCTGGCAACAGATCACTATAGTGAGTTATGTACCAACCCGGTCTGCCATGGACGGCTTTTGAGGCACTATTTACCCTGTTGCCTCGAAAGTTTGATCACTAGGAGCTATCTAGCAACCCCTGCTGCCAAGAACACCGCCAGAAACACGGGATTATCTATAGCGGAATTGCACGACTCGTTGAGCTTCACTATGTACTAACAACGTCGCGCCACGGCGTGCGAGTATGTACGACTTGGAGAAGGTACGATCGCCGTACCGCGAATCACGGCGCGAGAGGCGCTCTCGAAGGGGATATGCGGATGGGCAAACGAGTGGAGCTTAGAACTTGCGTACTCTCTCTTCGGCTTGAGCAACCTAGCAAGAACTTGCTTGGACATCGACGATCGGCTGGCTGGATGCCGCTCGATTCCCCACAACCACTCGAACTAGGAAACGCCAGTAAGTACGCTATCACCGAAGAATGGCTGGAGTCGCCAGTCACTGCCCTACCGCTACGTCCTGTATGCGCTAAGGTGCTATCGGTTAGAAGTCGCAACTTCTTTTGATGAGTGAGAGCTGGAAGGTGTGCCGATCTCCCACGCCAACGACGCTGCACCGCAATCGGCGTTTCCTGCGGAGCCACGATGCGAGGAGGCAGGGAAGATGAGGCGGCGTTGTTGAGCTCTGAGTGACTATCGCGCCCCGATGTTCGCTCGAGAGTTGGGTTGGGGCCTTTGGAGAATCACCAATGAGAAGAGATGGAATGCATGTGCCAAGGACGGGTCACAGGAGGGATGTCGGTGTTCGGGTGCCATGGCAGACTGTACCAAGTCGTGAGGTGAGGTGATCATTCAGTTGCTGTGAGCAGCCATGGTCAATGATACAGCCACAAGGACAGAAGCAGACTTCATTCGGTGAGCTCTGCTGAAAAAGTTCAAGGAATTGGAATTTCCAAAGGTTTACTATGTTTCAGAGCGATCCATTTATTGTTTGCGGAGGTAGTTTTAGGTCTTGAGCGGAGATGCTCCATGAAGTGGAGGTGCTTGCGAATTTCGCAACCTCCAAATGTTTCGCAAGCGTCGCAAAACAGTTGAGGCGAAAAGGGGCACTGTATGGTTGCCTGTGCGACGACTGGCGTGGCATGGGCGACCCGTCATGTGGCACGAAGTTTGCGGCGACATGAATTTTCCGAATTCGGCTGCAGCTTCGGCACCACGGCGCGACAACCGCCGACATCAGCTGCAGCTGCTGTAACCCTCTCCGGCTATTAGGGCAGGGTACAAATGTTCTGTCCCGCCCTCGGAAACCGGTGTGCAATATTCGAATGCCTGTGTTCAGCGGTTCCGCACGAAATGGAAGAAGCAAAAAGAGGGTTGTGAGACCAGCACGCGATTACGGTTTTCGTTTTTGACTGCACGAGGCGCTTAAAAGTATTGCATAACTTTGGCGTCACGATAGGGGGAGAAAGCAACGCAACGATTCGTCTCCAACCTTCCCCCGCCTCCACCACCCAAACCGACCGATTTGAACATGTTTCGAAATTCGGCTCGGCTCGGCGGGGACATTCAGCGCTCAAGCAATCATGGCTAGCCACGCTGCCAAGAGTTTTGCTGGCTGGGGTGAGGAACGAGGTCTGTTCGGTGACCGTTGAACTAGCGAAAATATAAATACGCGGTACACGGCACACCTTCACTGTGACTAATGAGTACATTCACAGGATGAGTGGAACTACATATTCTCATCCGCTAAGTACGCTACACTTGACTTCATGGCATGAGCTCACTATACCTGCAACACCCCTATTTCAACCTCATCTGCAACGAACTAAGCCCCTACCGGCGCACATGTGTGCAGGATATGCAACAAGTTACAAGACTGGCGGAAACTTCGTCACAGTCGTCCACCCACGCCAATCTGGCATCCTATCAACCACATACCAGTATATCCGTACACCTCCTTCTGCCTCCCTTAGATTGCAATTGCCAGTTGCTAAACCTACGATCAAAGCTTGTTTTCTAGTCTGCCACCCGCAGCAATCATCTCCTGCCCCTCGTCAGCTCTTCCCAATCGAATCAGTGCAGCAGCTACTAGGTAGGTTGCCTCAGGCCACGGGGGTTTGGACTGCTGGGCCTGAGGGAGGGGGGGGACATGAATAAAGAGCTTTAGTTCAGTGAGATACGATAATGTGATGCTGCATGTGCTGCACCTGTTGCAATTAGATGGGTTGCTTCAGGCCACGCGACCTTGGACTGCTGGGTTCCAATGCAGCTTTCTTGCCCATAACTCCATGTCCATTGGTCCTTATCCGACAAAATATCTCATCCTAACCTGGATGGCATGGTTTGTCCTTACCTGTAGGGCGTCCTGGTAAGCTTCCTCCCAGTGCCCCAGTTGCAGATGCGACAAGCAACGCCGCGCAAACAGCACGGGGATCGGGGGCGAGTCACACTTGAGGAACTGTAGGAGACGAGAGCACAATGCAGGGGTGGAGAGAGGTGGCATGCAGAGAAAGAGGGGTGGAAAGAAGTGGCATGAAGGGCAGGAGGGGTGGAGGGAATGTCATGCATAAAGGGAGAAAGTGAGAGGGAGGGAGGTGTCAAAAGTGAGATGGGATCTTTTGGATCGGAGTTACTTTAGTACAACTTCCTCCCTTTATAATCACAATCACCTTGAAGTAGCACCCAATCGCCTCGTCTCACCGCTTGCTTGTTGCACACTTTTTCTCTTCATAACCACCTTGGTGTCGAGAAAAAAAACCCTTCTACGCTTACCTTGGTGTAGAGAGCAATCGCCTCTTCCCACTGCTGGCTCTCGCCAGATATCTCCCATTTTCTCAGATTTCCACACTTCTGTTCGCCCTTTATCATCACCTTGGTATTGCAGAGAGAAATCCCTTCATAATCACCTTGGAGGTGTAGAGAGAAATCCCTTCATAATCACCTTGGTGTAGAGAGCAATGGCCTCCTCCCACTGCTGGCTCTTGAACGCCTTGTCTCCCCTCTGCCTTGACGACACTAGATCCTGTATTTCGGCATTCCACACCTCAAACGATGGCTGGGGGGGGGAAGGAGCGTGGCAGAGAGGAAGGAAACATGGATGAGTGCTACCAAACTGCCTTGTCTACACCTTGTCTCCCCTCTGCCTGGACAACACTAGATCCTGTATTTTGGCATTCCACACCTCAAACGATGGCTGGGGGGGGAAGCAGAGCAGCAGGGCGGGACACAAGGGGGGAAAGTCGCACAGGAGTTGTCAGAAGGCCCCCTGTCTCCCATCTGCCTGGGCGACACCAGGTCTTGCACCTCAAACGACGGCTGGAAGTGGGGAGAGGGCAAAGGAGGGGTTAGGGACACAAGGGGGGAAACTGCTTTTGAGTCGACTCAAAAGGAGGGGTTAGGGACACAAGGGGGGAAACTGCTTTTGAGTCGACTCAAAAGGAGGGGTTAGGGACACAAGGGGGGAAAGACGCACAAGAGTTGTCACAAGGCCTCGTCTCCCATCTGCCTGGACGACACCAGGTCCTGCACCTCAACATTTAACACACCTCAAAGCACGGCTAGAGGGGAGAGGAGCGTGGCAGAGAGAGAGGAAAGTTTGATGAGTGTTACCAGAACGCCTTGTCTATGCCTTGTCGCCCCTCTGCCTGGGCGACACCAGGTCTTGCACCTCAACATTCCACACCTCACGGGACGGCTGGAGAGAGACGAGAGGGGGCAGAGGAACCAGGTGGGATCGAGGTGGGGAGAGAAAAGGGGGTGCATGAGAGTGTCAATACGGCTTGTCCCCCCTTTGCCTGGACGACACTGGGTCTTGCACCTCAACATTCCACACCTCAAACGATGGCCACAGTGAACGCCACAGTGACCAGCCTCCGATGCAGCACCTCCCAGTCCCCTTCCATGGCTGCACGAGGCGACTTGGTGCAGCCTTTCTCAGGAGGGGAACAGACCCATGCGACACACTGCAGTGCAGTGCTCTCACCTCCTGCGGTGGTGTGAAGGACACTGTGACCAGCCTCCGATGCAGCACCTCCCAGTCCCCTTCCATGGCAGCACAGGGCGACTCAATACACACGTCAAAGAGAAGAAAGAACAACCACTGACCTCCTGTGGCGGTGTGAATGACACAGTGACCAGCCTCCGATGCAGCACCTCCCAGTCCCCTTCCATGGCAGCACGGGCCAACGGTGACGCTGCAGCAGCAGTGGCAGCAGAAGCGCCGGCCTCCTCCCTCTCCTCTCCCTCTCCCGCAAGGCCGAGTGAATTGCCGATGCCCTGACAGGGAGATGAGGAAGAGGTGGCACAGAGAAATACAGAGCAGTAAAGATTGGCGGTAAGCGCAGAAATATTCGCCATAGCAGCATGGGCTGACGTCGAGGCTGCAGCAGCCGTAGCAGCAGGAGGAGCGCCGCCCCTCACCTTCTCCTCTCCATCTCCCGCAAGGCCAAGTGAACTGCCGTTGTCCTGCCGGGGGGGGATGAAGAAGAAGTGCCACGGTGAAGGTTGGAACGGTACAGAGCGGTACAGAGCAGCAGGAGAAGGAGCGTTGCCCCCCACCTTCTCCTCTCGATCTCCCGCAAGGCCAAGTGAATTGCCGATGCCCTGCCAGAGGAGATGAGGAACATGTGGCACGGAGTGGTGCAGAGCGGTAGGGAGCGGTGGTAAGAGAACGGTCATTTTGCATTTTACAGACAAGCGACGCTGATACAGAAGCACCGCAAAAAAACCGGCCCCCTCCATCTCCTCTCCCTCTCCCACAAGGCCGAGTGAACCCCCAATGCTCTGACAGGGAGAATGGGGAAGAGGAGAGAGAGTGAAGAATAGAGAGGTACAGAGAGGTACAGGGTGGTGGTACGAGCAGAGACTTTTACTTCAATATCAGAGGCCAGCACAGCAGCAGCAGCAGCAGCAAAACTCATACCACTCCGCACAGCTATGTACTAGTAATACCACTCTAAACCGCACAGCGAACCGTGTAAGACAGCTCTGAGCCCCTCACAACCACACTCACCCTGCTGCGGTCGTCCAGTATCCCAAGAAACTCTGCAATGCTATCCATCGGTGGGCGATCCGCCGGGTCCTTTTTAAGGCACTCGGCAATGAGGGGGACGAGCTCGAGAGCAAATTCCACACTTGGTGCGTGCGAAAGGAGGTTGCTGTCTAGCAGGAGGGATAGATCCTGCTTCTCCTCCACCATCTCCAGGAACTGGTGCGGTGAGATGGGGGCGGGAGGAGAGGGGAAGAGAAGAGGATTGAGCGCGAGGGGAGGTGATGGTATGCAATGAGGGGGACGAGCTCGAGGGTGAACTCGACGCGTGGTGCATGCGAGAGGAGGTTACTGTCGAGGAGGAGGGATAGATCCTGCTTCTCCTCCACCATCTCTAAAAACTGATGTTGTGTGGAGTGGAGAAAGAGGGAGAGTGACGGAAGTAAGAGGCAATGAGGGGGACGAGCTCGAGGGTGAACTCGACGCTTGGTGCATGCGAGAGGAGGTTACTGTCGAGGAGGGATAGATCCTGCTTCTCCTCCACCATCTCTAGAAACTGATCGGGTGAAAGGGGGACGCGGAGGAGAAGGGGAAGGAGACAAGAGGGCGGAGGTGGCGATGGAGGAGAAAACTGATGGGTTGATGGAAGGGAGGACAAAAGGGGGAGGGCGGGGGAAGGGAACTGTGTGTACTGAACGCTTGCACACACACGCACATTAGTGCGTACCTGTATGTTTTTTGAGAATTCTCAAAAAACATACACTGTGTGTACTGAATGGTCGCGCACACACGCACATTAGTGCCTACCTGTTTTTTGAGAATTCTAAAAAAACATACACTGAGTGTACTGAACGCTTGCACACACACGCACATTAGAGCCTGCCTACCTGTGTGGGGCGAATGCTCTTGCCACTAAAGAGAGCCAGGAGGATGAGTCCAAAGCTGTACACCACACTCTCTGCTGTCACCCTCCCTGCAATCACATGATCACGAGGAATGAGAAGGATTGTAACGGAATCACAAGGAGTGTCAACGAATGACAAGGTGGGACACGATGTAGCACGCATTGCAGTTGATAGATAGCCCGCCCAGGTTGGAGAAGTTGTAGCGACTGAGGTGACTCAAAAAACAACCATGCAACAGTGGACGCGCGTAGTTAGTCGTCACCTCATGCCTCACCATGTAACAGCTGCTCAGGAGGTAGATGGTCCAGATTGGAGCTGTAGCGACCGTCCTTGCTGACTTTTGAGTCGACTCAAAAGTCACCTCATGCCTCACCGTGTAACAGTTGCTCCGGAGGTAGATAGTCCAGATTGGAGCTGTAGCGACCGTCCTTGAGAGGCTTGATGAGGCCGAAACACGAGAGCTTGGGTTCATTGTCCTGCCGCAACAAAAAAAAGAGGAAGCAACAGGTCTTGGTGGTTGATAAGAGAGGTTAGAGAGTGCCCTCTTATGAAGCAACAATTTGACATCGCTATAGCCGCAATGGCCTTAGCAACACTTTCTACTCGTTATAAAACTCTCACCTTATCCAGCAGCACTTTATAGGGATTGAGGTCGTGATACACAAGCATTCCCTTCTCCCTCCCCAGATGCTCCAGTGCTTGCGCCACACGCATGGCCACTGCCAACCGGGCTAGCCAAGACATAGGGCGTTGCTCCCCTGAGAACAGGCAAGCAGGGTGTGAAATGCGGTGGGGAGGAGTGTCACTGAGTATGCCCTTCTCACGCCCCAGATGCTCCAGTGCTTGCGCCACACGCATGGCCACTGCCAGCCGTGCCAGCCAAGACATAGGGCGTTGCTCCCCTGAGATGCAGGAAAAAGAGGGGTGGAGGAAAGGGGGGAGCAGGGTGCAATGGTGTGCGGTGCGGAGGAGTGAAAGTGTGCATGTAATCCCCCCACAGATGCTCCAGTGCTTGCGCCACATGCACGGCCACTGCCAGCCTGGCCAGCCAGGACATGAGCCGCTGCTCCCCTGAGACATTCCAGGCAAGGGAGAAGTAGAGGATTTGCATGGTGGGGTGGGGTGGGGAGGAGTGTGAGCATATGTACTCCTGCCCCAGATGCTCCAGTGCTTGCACCACATGCACGGCCACTGCCAGCCTGGCTAGCCAGGACATGGGGCGCTGCTCCCCTGAGGTGGAAGGGGCAGGGTAACCCAGGAAGGGGAAAGGAGGGTGTGAATGGGGTGCGCCTGTAGAAGCACTGTTGGTGCGACTTAGAGCTGGCCACTGCCAGCCGTGCTAGCCAGGTCATGGGCCGCTGCTCCCCTGGAACAGCAGACAGGGGGGAAAGCGGAAGGTGGGGGAGGGCGGGGTGGGGGTGGGGGCGAGAGGGGGGGATGTGGAGCGGTGATTGTGGATGCGCTACCTCCCCATATGCTCCTCCCACCGCCAAACAGTTACACGTGGTTTGGTAGGCGGCACAGAACAGCTTCTTACCAAGAAGGCAACAACTGCTTGCAGTTGGGCAGGTGCGGGGTGCAAGTGCAAGTGCAGTTGAGCAGGTGCGGGGTGCAAGTGCAAGTGCAGTTGAGCAGGTGCGGGGTGCAAATGCAAGTGCAGTTGGGCATGAAGTCAGAGACGAGCAGCCTGTGCTCTCCCTTGCAGCAGAAGCCCAGCAGCTTGCCAAAAGAGCAGCAGAAATAAATCCACTCTCAACATAGGCTGATGTGCTGTTACAGGGCCTTACAATGAATAGGTGCTGAGCAAGCTTGCAGTTGGGCATCAAGTCAGAGACCAGCAGCCGGTGCTCGACCTCGCCCTCACAGCAGAAGCCCAGCCAACTCACACTCGACGTACACCACAACGCCGTTTAGGACTCTCGCACTCTGACATTTAGAGAGTCCTAAACGTGAGTTCGGAGCTGCCTTACAATGAAACAGGTGTTGCGCGAGCGTGCAGTTGGGCATGAAGTCAGAGATGAGCAGCCGGTGCTCGCCCTGACAGCAGAAGCCCAGCAGCGATGTGAGCCCCGGGTAGCGAATGATGCCCACTGCCGTGGCGTCTGCCTGTTGGGTGTGATGGCGGGTGGGGTGACCGTGAGGGACAAGAGGAGAGGAGAAGAACAAGCGCGGACAGCAGAAGCCCAGCAGCGATGTGAGCCCCGGGTAGCGAATGATGCCCACTGCCGTGGCGTCTGCCTGTTGGGTGTGATGGCGGGTGGGGTGACCGTGAGGGACAAGAGGAGAGGAGAAGAACAAGCGCGGACAGCAGAAGCCCAGCAGCGATGTGAGCCCCGGGTAGCGAATGCTGCCCACTGCCGTGGCGTCTGCCTGTTGGGTGCGGTCGGGTTGGGTTGCGATGGGTTAAGGAACAACAGCAAACCAGTTTGACAAAAGGGTAAGACAGGCAGAAGCCCAGCCAGCGGCGATGTGAGGCCCCCTGTACCGAATGCTGCCCACTGCTGTCCCGTCTACCTGTTGGGTGTGTGTGTGAGGGAGGAAAGGGCATGGATGTGAGGAAGACATTACGATGAGGAGAAAGCAGAAGCCCAGTAGTGATGTGAGGCCCCCCCCCTGTACCAAATGCTGCCCACTGCCATGGCGTCTGCCTGTTGGGTGCGTGCATGGGGCGTTGCGCGTGTGGTGGGGACAGGAAGGAGGGAAGTTAGTGAATTGTGAGCCCTAGGTAGCACAAGTGATTCGGCATGGATTGAAACTTCGGGTAGCGAATGCTGCCCACTGCTATGGCGTCTGCCTGTTGGCTGTGTGGTGGGGGAGAGGGATGACAGAAGCAAAAGCCTATTGGATGCGTGGGGTGGGGGGGAACAGGGACGATGGAGGGGAACTGGGGGGGGGGGGGGGGGGCAGCAGACGCCTTTTGAGTCGACTCAGAGGTCGCTCCTTCCGCAGCAGAAGCCCAGCAGCAATGTGAGTCCTGGGAGGCTGCTCCTTCCACGCTGCTCCACCGCTGTAGCTTCTTCCTGCTGGACGGCCTGTGTCTTCCCCTCCTGCTGTCGAATTTCTCAGGAGGGGAAGGCATAGGCCCAGCAAGCAAGCGGCAATGTGAGTCCTGGGTGGCTGCTCTGCTCCTTCCACGCTGCTCCACTGCTGTAGCTTCTTCCTGCTGGGTGTCCTCCCATTCTTTCTGGACCTGCTTCTGCTTCGCTTAAGGGAGAGTCCCTCTGTCCCCAGCATCTATGCACACACACACAGGGTTGGTTGAAATACGCTACACTCGTAGTACAGCAAAGCAGCGCTCTTGCAACCATTCAAGCAACCTACCTACCACAATCGCCTCTCATTACGAAATGCTGAGCGTCTGTCTGGAACCGCTTCATTGCCACTTTGTCGTGAATTACTTCCCCGCTGGACTTAATCCTTGCCTTGTAACACCTTCCGCTTTCCTTTCACTCCTTAGTTTCCTGCTGCCCGTGTCTCAGGCTACCCTTCTTCGGCTCTGTCCTGACGAAGCGTACTGGCAGTTCACCCTGCTCACTGTCCTCCTTCCCGTACTCGGTATAGTATAAGACTCGCTCCTGCCATGTGCAGATCGTTGCTCCCACTTTGTACATAAGCTCCATCCCCAGCAGTAGGTCGTAATCGTCTGACTCGGTCAAGCCACACTGCAGCAGAATCTTCGTCTCTCCCTTTTCTCCCGGCCGCAGTGTTATCTCTATGGGCTCCTTGGTGCAAGACATCCACTTTGGTGCTCCACCTTCTGCTGTCATTATCAGCAGTCCCCGGTCCACTGTCTCTAAACTACCTTGCGCCTTTAGTTGTTCTGTTAACTTCCTTCCGATCAGTACACTTTGGGCACCCGTATCCACCACTGCATCCTCCACCCGTATCCCTCTTACAGCTACCGCCTTGGGCTCAACCGCCAGTGCCGTGGCCTGGCACATCAACCTCTCCTCAGGAGGGCGGCAAGCGGTCCCCATTCCTCCTGCTCTCTCCTGCACCTTCGGCGTCTTTCTTTCGTAGGTCTTTGGTGCTGCTTTGCCGTCCACTCCTCCATTGAGCAGCCCTAGTTCTTCTCTCTCTCTCACTTGTAGAGCCATCGCTCCATACTCAGCTTCCTCCTCTGATTCTTCCTCGTCTTCCTCCCACGACAGCGATGCTTTCTCAGGGTCGTCTCTGATTTCAGCCTTCCTCATTCGAGCTTTAAGCTTCATCAGCTCGCGTTCTAGTTGCAGCTCCCTGGAGGGCTTCCCTTTTCCTCTCTCACCCTTGCTGTAGCATCTTTCTTCCGTGTGCCCCCTCTTTCCACACCCCGTGCAGATGGGGGTCTTGGGGCAGTTGCGCCTGATATGCCCCTCTACCCCACACGTGTCACACACAATCCCTACCGCACAATCCTTCCTCACGTGCCCCATCTCCCGCACTTGTGGCAGCGCCGTGAGTCCTCTGTTGGTCTCTCTCTACGCTCTTCTTCACTTCGCCTCTCTTCGACAGCTCCCAAAACTGGCCTTCTCCGATCGCTTGGACGGCTCATGCTTACTCCCCGCATTCCTTCAAAGAATCTTCGTCCCTCCTCCACCTCCTTCGCCACCTGATACACTTGCCGCAACTTCGCTCTCATCCTCATAGCGTACAGCCGTGACTTCATATCGTGCATCAGGTCATCCTCCAGGCCTCCCAAGAACTTGGTCACTAGTGTTCTTTCCTCCAGGCAGCACATGTCTTCAGC